AATAACCATATTTCTCATTGTGTTTACAAAGTTGTAAGAATCACCTTTCATATTAAAAGAGAAGAAAAGAAAAAATAAAATTTATTAATAAGATAATTCATTAACTGATTAACAATGTTGTTAATCGATTATACAAAACATAATTAAAACTATTTTAACATCAAATACTTCATATTAATGCATGGGCCATGAAGTGGGGCTAATATGGTTGGTTGGATGATGTGTGAGATGATGAAATTTACATAATCAATACTCTAGTACTTACATGTTTTTTTTAATAAAGCACTACCGCCAAATATATTAGAGAGAAAACAATCCAATTACAAGAAACTAGTACTTACATGTTAAAATAATATGAATTTTCTTTTTGAATGCATGAATGAATGGTCAATGAATGTTTGAATATTTATTTTTTGTTTTTGAGTTAATTTATGCATGCATGCCCCTTAGAGCAATGAACCTTAGAATAATGTGATGTATTACTGAATCCTCATACTTATCTTCTCACTAATAAGAAATTGACATATCTTCCTTATAAACCAATTATTAATAAATAAAATATTGAAATATCATTTTCTTGTAAACCAATTAATAAAATTATCAATTTTATTATTAAAGATAATATTTTTTCAAAGAAGGAAATCTGAAATTATAAAGTTATTTTAATATAATCATTTAATGCAAAATTAAATCATATGAAACTTTTCTTAAAAAATTTAAAAAATACTAAAAACATTAACCACATTAAAATGTATGAATGATCATAAATGATTGTAGTATATCACTTTTGTTGCTTGAAAATAATTAAAGCATACTCAACACATCAAACATTTTGTCACCAAAATGATCTCATAATAATTGTTTGAAAATTAAATTCTATTAAGTAATTGAGTAGAAAGAGAAAATGATTGTGCACATTCAAAACTAAATAACATACTCAAACAGTCATTGAACAATTTGATTAAAATAACATCATTTTTGCACATTCAAAACTAAATTAAAATAATTGATAAATAAGGGGCAAAAAAGTAAGTGACAAATAAGGGTATAATTAGAAAATAAATTATAATTATCTCTTGTATTTCTAAAACATCCAAATATTTGGATTAACATGAAAAAAAATTAAAATATTAAAAAATATGGAATGGAGTGAGGGAGTAATCTTTTAAGAATGACATGAGTATTATATAAACTTGTCAATGTTACTTGTTACTTACAAATCAAAATTCCTTTGAAGCTATACAAAACAAAGGGCACACGTATTCACATGGCTCTTCTAAAATTCATCTTTTTGGCCATTGTTGGAGTTCTTCTCTTCTCTCATGGTATGTAAAAAAATAACAGAATAGCCATTTATTATACTTTTACAATCTTTTTTATGCTTTTCATTATTATCATTTACTGATAATTTAAGTAATTAACCATACAACAAATGCAGGCATGGGTATACAAACATGTATAGGAACATGCAAACAATATCCTAATTGCGTTACTGTATGCAAGAAACAAGGCTATGTCGTAGGATTTTGCGTTCCCGACTTGTCTTTGCCAGTTGGAAATTACAATTGCTGTTGTGGTAAAGATCCTGAAGTGTAGCTTTGTGTGTATACAAGTATAGCATTCTTTTCATCCAATGAAAATTGTACTTCATGAATAATTAAACTTTATCAATAAAAATGAAAGCATTATAAAAAATTAAAATGTCGAGTATTTGATTGTTGTCTATCATCTATTGCTTTTGATCTTATTTATTTATATATTTTTAATCTTAACATATTTACTGAAAGATAATGATAGAGTTCTTTGAAGACAATAAAAAACCAATTTTTTTCATATTTTAAATTTTGTACTATAGATTATTTTTATATACGATCATCTTACTGGTCTTTAATTTATAATTTTTGTTGATGTTATAATAAAAAATTACTAAACCATGACACTTCAGAAACATATGGCTCGTAAGTGGATGGAATCCATAAAATATAAATCAAATAATTACTAATGTTGTTGTTACTAAATTATATACATCAAATGGCCATTAATCATACAAATTAATAACTGTCACTTTACTTCCATATGCTTCTTCGTATAAAAAATAACAGTGTTAAACCTTTCTTCTACTTCTTCCAAATTAATAACAATTATAACAGTGTGTACTAACTAGTTATACAAAAAGATAGCTATAAGTGATATACTTTTGTTTACGGAAAAAATAATAGTATACTGCACAATTCTTCCTAATATTATTAATATTCAGAAAAGAAGGTAAAATGTGGATTCCCACAAACTATAAATTTTAATAAACTGAGCAGATGAGTCAACTCTAAATCCATCCTTTACTTATATATTAAATTTGCAGCATTAAACCTTTCTTTGACCATCTAATATATTAATTCTAATTTTATGGTAAATAATTTAAAATTATATATATATATATATATATATATATATATATGATAGATTAATTTTACCAATATTAAAGGTTTAAAGAATAATCTAGAAAGAAAAGTATATCACGTTATCTACTTGTAAAAGACATAAAATTTAAGGAGGTTTTGTAAAAAAAATCCAAATAAAAATCACCCCAAAACTGTAAAACAAATTAAAGTAAATGTATAGCGAGTATGTGTGAGCACATCATTTTAAGTTTGTAAGGTAGTTCAGCTAAATTTTTTGAAGAAAAATATATAATGCTTAAACATGTGGTTCTCATATCTATTTTTCACATTTATTCTTTATCCTATTTTCAAATATGACAATCAACAATTAAGAGAATTTTTCAAGTTGTCATAAGAATAACCTAAAATTTAGGCTAGAAAATTTCCAAGAAAGATTCCTATTGTGTCATTTCTATTGCATTTTTCTTTTATCATAGCTTCTGCTGAGATATTAATTGTGAATTTTCAATTGATTTTTTTGTGTATAATTTTTGTTTTTTACTTCAAGTTAGAAACACTCTTTATATTCTTTTATTATCGAATCACATGAATGGTGTAAAAGAATATATTCTTTGATTTAATAACTGAATTTCAAGGAAAATGGTTGAAAACTATCCTCACCGAACAATCGACATAGTGAGTGTTATTTAGAAGTAATCTCCTTTCATGATGTTTATGCTCAAATGAGTTGACTAGGAATATCTCATAGTGTTTGAGAATTACAAAAAATGTCTTGTGTCATTACAAAGATATGCCTGAAAACATCCATCATTTTGGGTCTTATATTTTCATCATCATCTATTTTATTTTATTTTTTTGATCAAAATTAAAAATGATAGGAGTTGTGCATGAATGAGAAGAAATAAAGCTTGAAGAAGGAAGAAAGAGAAAAAATAATATTTCTCATTTTATTTACAAAGGTGTAAGAATCACATGTTATACTAAAAGAGGAGAAAACACAATAAAAAAATTTATTAATAAGATAATCGATTAACTCTCTTGATAATAGATTATCGTATACAAAACTCTACTTAACTAACTAAAGAACATCTAGACAACTGATTAACCATATTGTTACACGATTATACAAAACATAATTACAACTATTTTAAATCAAATTATTCATATTAATACATGAATTATGAAGTGTGACTAATATGATTGGTAGGATGAAGTGTGAGAAAATAAAATTTGCATGATCAATATACCAGTGTATACTCTTTAAAAATGATGAATTTTCTTTTTTGAATAAATAATTGAATGAATGTTAGAATATGTATTTTTTGTTTTTTGGGGTGATATAATCATCACTATAACATATTAATTGTCTTTATGGGTTGACATCTATCATATAGTTCACACCAACCTAAGGTGAATATGGGTTACCAAAGTTTTTTCGAAATCATCCATAGGATAGTGGATTCTATTAAGGTACTTTATTTTGCATACAAGTAATGTGTGTTCATTGTGTACGAATACAAATGTGCAATGATATCTTATACTACTAGAACTTCGAATGACTTTGGGTGTGAGATATTTTGAAAGACTAATATGATGTACTATTACTAAATCATCTTAATAATCATCTTACCTACAAGAAAGTGACACATGTTACTTATAAACTATTTATTAATAAATAAAGTATTACCTTGTGAATCTTGTGATATATGTCACTTTCTTGAAAATCAATTAATAAATAAATAAAATGATCATTTTTATTATTAAATTTAATCATTTAATGCAAAATTAATTGTACATGGAAATTTTCTTGAAAAATTTAAAATGTTAAAAATTATATAAAAAAACAATAACTATATTAAAATGTATGAATGATTGTGATATGTCACTTTTATTCCTTAAAAATAATTAAAGCACACCCAACACATCAAACATTTTCTATTTAAATATTGTTTCTACATTTTCAAAATTTTATGCAACTAGTTGTTTTTGTCACCAAGATGCTCTAATAATAATTGTTGGAAAAGAAAATTCCATTAATTAATTGAGTAGAAAGTGAAAATGAATATATTTCTCAATGAAGATCAAATTTGAAAAATCTAATTATAAAATGAATTAATAACATTAATCATCTTTATTAATTTACTTTAAATAATCTTTTTTATATCTTTTGAGGTTTAAGTTTAGACACTATTAAAGAAATAATTAAATAAAAAAATTAAATATCATTAATCATCTTTATTAATTCGCATGAAATAATATATTTTATATCTTTTGAGGTTTAAGGTTAGACAATATTAAAGAAATCATTAAATAATAAAAAAATCATGCAATTTGATTAAAATAACATTATTTATGACATTCAAAACTAAATTAAAAAAATTGATAAATAAGAGGTGAAAATCTGAGTAATAAATAAAGGTATAATTAGAAAATAAATTATAAATGTGTCTTGTATTTCTAAAACATCAAAAGATTTAGATTAACAAGAAAACAATTAAAATATCAAAAAAATATGGAATAAAGTAAATGAGTTGTCTTTTAAAAGGGACATGAGTATTATATAAACTTGTCAATCATACTTCTTACTTACAAATCAAAATTCCTTTGAAGCTATACAAAACAAAGGGCACACGTATTCAAATCGCTCTTCTAAAATTCATCTTTCTAACCATTTTTTAAGTTCTTCTCTTCTCTCATGGTATGTAAACAAATTGAGCAGATGAGTCAACTCTTATAATCTTTTTTATGCTTTTCATAATAGCCATTTATCATACTTTTACAATCTTTTTTATGATTTTCATTATTATCATTTAGTGATAATTTAAGTAATTAACCATACAACAAATGCAGGCATGGGTGTACAAACATGTATAGGGACATGCAAAAAATATCCTGATTGCAATGGTGTATGCAAGAAACAAGGCTATGTCATAGGATTTTGTGTCCCCAACATTTCCTTGCCTGTTGGAAATTACAATTGATGTTGTGCTAAAGATTCTCAAGAATAGCTTTGTATTTCATGAATAATTAAACTTTATCAAATGAAAGCATTATAAAAGGTTGAGTATTTGATTGTCTTCTATCATCTATTGCTTTTGCTTTTATTTATTTATATATTTTTAATATACTACTACTAAATCCTCATATTAATTATCTTACTTACAAGAAAGTGACATGTGTTACTTATTAACCATTTATTAATAAATAAAGTATCACATTGTGAGTGTTGTGACAAATGTTACTTTCTTGAAAATCAATTAATAAAACGATCATTTTTATTATTAAAGTTATTCATTTTTATTTAATTATAATCATTTAATGCAAAATTAATTGCACATGGAAATTTTCTTGAAATATTTAAAATTTTAAAAAATATAAAAAAAACAATAACCATATTAAAATGTATGAATGATTGTGATATGTCGACAACAGTGTTGTTTGGACCGGACCGGACCGGCCGGTCCAACCGGTCCAACCGTCACCCGCTTGAGTAAACGGTCCTGTACATGTAGAAAACCGGAATTGGTTTCCAGCCGTTTTGGGCCGTGGAAAATCCGGTCCAACCGGGTTAGACCGGGTAAAACCGGAATAACCCGGTTGGTTAAACCGGCCGGATTGATAAAATTAAAAAAAAAGTAAAAAATGCACATATTTGATGCTTTTAATATGATGTAATCGATTACGAGTATATTGTAATCGATTACATCATGTAAAATTCACATATCTGATGCTTTTAATATGCTGTAATCGATTACGAGTATATTGTAATCGATTACATCATGTAAAATGCACATGTCTGATTAGTTTATCAGCATGTAATCGATTACCAGGATTGTGTAATCGATTACACTATTTAAAAATGCAAATAATCTTAGTTTCATGCATGAGTTTTTCAAAGATCAGTATTATACATATTTTCTAATTATTATACATATTAATCTAACGTATATTCTAATTTGTAGGTATGGTTGAAGGACAAAATATTACTATTGATGAATTGCTTAATTTAGACTCTTTTCCTCAAGAAGATATATATAGTTACACTCAAAGTACATCTTTAACCAACAATGTAAACTTAGGATCTAATCAAGACAATGATACATGGATGAATTAGAATGTTTACTCTCTAAATGAGATGTGTTTTGATTTATTGCTCTAATTATGTAAGACTTAAACTTTGATGCACTTTTATTTTGATTTATGTGTAAGCTTTGTGCAAAATTATTCACTTATTTTAATTAATTATATAATATATGTATATATATATATAATTATATATGATATTATATTGTCGTCCGGTCGGACCGGACGACTTAACCGGTTAAACCGGTTAGAACCTATACAAGACCTCCTCCGGTTTGACGTCCGGCTCGGGTTTCACAACATTGGTCGACAACTTTCATTCCATAAAAATAATTAAAGCACACCCAACACATCAAACATTTTGATATTTAAATATTATTCCTACATTTTCAAAATTTTATGCAACTAGTTGTTTTTGTCACAAAAATGCTCTCATAATAATTGTTTTAAAAGAAAATTCCATTAATTAATTGAGTATAAAGAGAAAATGAATTTATTTCTTAATGAAGATCAAATTTGGAAAAAAAATGTAATTATTAAAGGGATTAATAACATTAATCATCTTTGTTAATTTACGTGAACTAATCTATTTTATATCTTTTGAGGTTTAAAGTTGGACACTATTAATGAAATCATTAAATAAATAAAATATCAATAAAATTAATCATCTTTATTAATTCACGTGAAATAATCTATTTTTATATCTTTTGAAATTTAAGGTTAGACACTATTAAAGAAATCATTAAATAATAAAAAATTCATGCAATTAGATTAAAATAATATCATGTATTCACATCAGAAACTAAATTAAAATAATTGATAATTAAGATATGAAAATATGAGTAATAAATAAAGGTATAACTAGAAATTAAATTATAAATGTGTTTTGTATTTCTAAAACATACAAAGATATGGATTAGCATGAAAAAAAATTAAAATATCAAAAAATATGGAAAAAAGTAGGTGAGTAATCTTTTAAAATGGACACAAGTATTATATAAACTTGTCAATCTCACTCCTTACTTACAAATCAAAATTCCCTTCATGCTATACAAAAGTAAGGTCTCACATGTTCACATGGCTCTTCTAAAATTCATCTTTCTGCCCATTGTTGGAGTTCTTCTCTTCTCTCATGGTATGTAAACAAATTAAATAACAGAATATCCATTTATTATACTTTTACAATCTTTTTTATGCTTTTCATTATTATCATTTACTGATAATTTAAGTAACCATGCAACAAATGCAGGCATGGGTATACAAACATGCATAGGACCATGCAAACAATTGCTTAATTGCGATCCACTATGCAAGAAACGAGGCTATGTCATAGGATTTTGCATTATCGACTTGTCTTTGCCAGTTGGAAATTACAATTGCTGTTGTGGTAAACATCATGAAGAGTAGCTTTTTGTGTGTGTATTACAAGTATAGCTTTCTTTTCATCCAATGAAAATTGTATTTCATGAATAATTAAACTTTATCAATGGAAAATAAAGCATTATAAAAAGTTGAGTATTTGATTGTTGTCTATCATCTATTTCTTTTCCTCTTATTTATTTATATATTTTCAATCTTAACATATTTACTGAAAGGTAATGATAGAGTTCTTTCTAGACAATTGGTAAAGAACCAATTTTTTTATACTTTAAATTTTGTACTTTAGATTGTTTTTATATACGATTATCTTAAATAATTTACTCGTTTTTAATTTATAATTTTTTTTGATGATGTACTAAAAAATTACTAAACCATGATACTTCAGAAACATATGGTTAAAGTAATCTCCGGACAATTGATATATTAAGGGTTATTTAAAAGTAATCTCCTTTCAATAAGTAATGTGTGCTGATTGTGTAGGAATACAATGTGCAACTATATTCTATACCAATGCTTTAAAAACCGTGCCGTACCGGCCGGTTCAACCGGAAAATCGGTGAACCGGACCCCTAACCGGTACGGTACGTATGTTATACCGCATATGCAATAGAACCGGCCAAAACCGGTCAAAACCGGTTTAAACCGGTCGGTTTGTACATTAATTTTTTTTATTTTTAAATTTCAAATTTTCAATTCTTCACTAATTCTTCAACTTCAATGATTAATACTTGGGTCATTTATTTGTATTTTGCGTTTGTTAAGTGATAATTTTGGATTAATATATGTTTTTGCACTTTAGACTTTGATTTTATTAAAGACTTAATGTTGTTTGTTTGTGTGAATTTGAAGTAAATTATGAATATGGATTATAAATATGAATATCTACTTATTTGAAATTTTTTGTTATAGGTTTCCATATATATATATATATATATATATATATATATATATAAGCAAGTATGTCCAGTTTAACTGGCATGCGGTTTAATTATTGAACCACTGGTTGAACCAATGTACCACTATACCAGTACCCTGACCGGTTTAATCATTAATAACATTAATCATCTTTATTAATTAATGTGTACTAATCCGTTTTATATCTTTTGAGGTTTAAGGTTAGATACTATTAATGAAATTATTAAATAAATAAAAAATCAATAACAATAATCATTTTTATTGATTCACGTGAAATAATCTGTTTTATATTTTTGAGGTTTAAGGTTAGACACTATTGAAGAAATCATTAAATAATAAAAAAATTCATTCAATTTGATTAAAATAACATTATTTATGCACATTCAAAACTAAATTAAATTAATTGAAAGTGGTCGTGTAATCGAAAATCGAGGCGCGACAAATTCAAATGTGCAATGATATCCTATACCACTAGAGCATGAGATGACATTTGGATGTGAGATATTTTTAAAGAGTAATGTGATGTCCTGCTACTGAATCCTCATACTTGTCTTCTTACTAACAAGAAATTGACATATCTTATTTATAAACCAATTATTAATAAATAAAGTATCATCTTGTGACATATCATTTTCTATTAAACCAATTAATAAAATGATCAATTTTATTATTAAAGATAATATTTTTTTCAAAGAAGGGGATAAAAAATTATAAAATTATTTCAATAATAATCATTTAATGTAAAATTAAATCATATGAAACTTTTCTTAAATTTTTTGAAAAATACTAAACATTAAGCACATTAAAATGTATAATGATAAAATATTGTCGTAATATATCACTTTTGTTCTTTGAAAATAATTAAAGCATACTGAACCCATCAAACATTTTGAGATTTAAATGTTGTTCCTACATTTTCAAAATTTTAGGTATCTAGTTTTTGTCACCAAAATGCTCTCATAATAATTGTTTGAAAATAAAATTCTATTAAGTAATTGAGTAGAAAGATAAAATGATTGTGCACATTCAAAACTAAATAACATACTAAACCATTCATGGACGAATTTGATATATTAAAATAACATCATTTGTGTAAACTAAATTAAAATAATTGATAAATAAGGGGTGAAAAATTAAGTGACAAATAAAGGTATTATTAGAAAATAAATTATATAATATCTCTTATATTTCTAAAACATCCAAATATTTGGATTAACATGAATTCTATTAAGGGTACTTTATTTTGCATGCAAATAATGTGTGTTCATTTATAGGAATACAAATGTGCAATGATATCCTATACCACTAGAACTTCGGATGACTTTGGGTGTGGGATATTTTGAAAGACTAATATGATTTAATACTAGTAATCATCTTACCTACAAAAAGTGAAACATATTACTTATAAATCATTTATTAATAAATAAAGTACTACATAGTGAATCTTATGATATATGTCATTTTGTTGAAAATCAATTAATAAATAAATAAAATGATCATTTTTATTATTAAAGTTTTTATTTAATTATAATCATTTAATGAAAAATTAATTGCACATGGAAATTTTCTTGAAAAATTTAAAATGTTAAATAAATATAAAAAAGAAATAACCATATTAAATGTATGAATGATTGTTATATT